CTAAGTGTTGGTATTAGTCTAAGACAACATCTCAGTTTAGTCCAGCAGCCTTGATGGCACAATTTGCTTACTAGGAGGTCTTCAGAGTTGTATCATATTTACTTGTGAAAAGCAGATGCTTTGCCATTCCATTTGACCATTGTTGCTTTTAGCTATCTTTTCATTTGTGAAGTATAGTTGATAACCATGTAATTATCAAACCAGCTCCAGCCACCTGCTTGGCTACTTCCCTAGTTTTGTTTCAATTACTCATTATTCTGGTCTTCCCAAAGGGATGATTAAAAAACATTTTTTTCAGAGTCATAATACTACAGTGATATTATTGTTACTGTATTCCATTGAGCCAATTCTGACTCACAGTGACCCTATGCGACACAGTAGAACTGTCTCATGGAGTTTCCTCGGGTATAAATCTTATAAGAGCAGATCACCAGGTGATCCCAAGGATCTGCTGATAGGTTTGAACCTTCAACCTGCCCTTTTGGTTAATAGCCAAGTGCTTAACCATTGTACCACCAGGGCTCTTTGATTCCAGTGCTAGTCCATTCTTATTAATTCCAAATTTGCTAAGTAATGCAGCAATAAAATTTGAATATTGTATAAATAAAACATACAACTCCCTGTAATAAGTCTTTAAAAATTAACAAAGTTAAACTGATACACAGTGATAAACGGACTAATCTTTCTACAATGGTTCTAAGGCCAATCCCTAAATACCATCAGCTTTTCTCTTATTTTAGCATCATTTATACATGACTGGTATATTTATTTTGATTATTATTTATTTAATATCTTTACACTTATTACTATTCTCTTATCTTTTATTTTTATTTTAGTGGATAATATTTTTGTGCCTGCTGATAATTGTTGTTATGTGGCGTCAAGTTATCTCCGACTCATAGCAACCCTTTGTACAACAGAATGAAACACTGCCCAGTCCTGTGCCAGCTTCATGATCCCTACTATACCTGAGCCCATCACTGTAGCCACTGTGTCAATCCATCTTCTTGAGGGCATTCTCCTCTTTCGTTGCCCCTCGATTTTACCAAGCATGACATCTGTCTCCAGAGAATGGTCCCTTCTGACAACATGACCAAAGCAGATGAACCAATCTGGCCATTCTCACTTCCAAGGAACATTCTGGCTGCACTTCTTCCAGGACAGATTTATTAGTTCTTTTAGCAGTCCATGGTACTTTCAACATTCTTTGCCAATACCACAACTCAAAAGCATCAACTCTTCTTCAGTCTTCCTTATTCACTGTCCAGCAGTCACATGCATATGAGGTGATTGAAAATACTATGGCTTGGGTTAGGCGCATCTTAGTCTTCAAGGAGATATCTTTGCTCTTCAGCACTTGAAAGAGGTCCTTTGCAACAGATTTGCCCAATGCAATACATCTTTTGATGTCTTGGACTGCTACTTCCATTGGTGTTGATTGTAGAACCAAGTAATATGAAGTCCTTGACAATTTCAATCTTTTCCCCATCTATTGTGATGCTGCTTATTGGTCCAGTTGTGAGGATTTTTGTTTTCTTTATGTTGAGATATAATCCATATTGCAGACAGTAGTCTTTAATCTTCATCAGTAAGTGCTCCAACTCATCCTCATTTTCAGCAAGCAAAGTTGTGTCATCTGTGCATCTCAGGTTGTTTACGAGCCTTCCTCCAATCCTAATGCCATGTTCTTCACACAGTCCAGCTTCTTGGATCATTTGCTCAGCATACAGACTAAATAAGTATAGTGAAAGGATACAACCCTGACACACTCCCTTCCTGATTTTGAACCATGCAGTATCCCCTTGTACTGTTAGAACAACAGCCTCCTAGTCTATGTACATATTACTCATGAGTACAATTAAGTGTTCTGGAATTCTCATTCCTTACAATGTTATCCACCATTTGTTACGATCCCCACAATCAACTGCCTTTGCATAGTCAATAAAACACAAGTAAACATCTTTCTGGTATTCTTTGCTCTCAGCCAAGATCCATCTGACATCAGCTATGATATCTCTCTTTCCATATCCTCTTCTGAATCCAGTTTGCATTTCTGGAAGTTCTCTCTCAATATACTGCTGCAACTGTTTTTGAATTATCTTCAGTAAGATTTGACTTGCATGTGATATTGATTGATAATTTCCACATTCTGTGGGATCACCTTTCTTTGGAATGGGTATCAATATGGATCTCTTCCAGTCACTTGGTCAGGTAGCTGTCTTCCAAATCTCTTGACATAGCTGAGTGAGTGCCCCCAGTGCAGCATCCATTTGTTGAAGCATCTCAGCGGGT